CAATGCAGCGGTCCTATCCTAACTGATTGCGGACCGAACGAACTATGTACTCCGCCCAGAAGAAGTGAAATTGCTTACGGCCAAGCAACTCCTTCTATTCATTGAAGACACAGGGCTTAGCAGTGAACTATAGCCACAGCAGCGATCACAATAGACCTTTTAGGTCGCAGTGATACTGGTCTCTTTCCCTAGACCTGCATAGCTGCTCGCACATAATAAAAAAATCAGCACTTAAATTGCTTTGAACAATATCATTAATGCTAACGGGATCGAATTCGCGTTCTATAAAATTCACAAAGATTGCTTAGCCCCTGATCAACCACGTGCAATAGTAAATGAATTGCTTTTCTTTGCTTTGAACAGGTTACAAAAAATAAACATACTATATAATAATAAAATCACCTGGTTCAGCTATTAAGATAGCATGCACATATTGATGTTAACAATTTCATCATGTCTGCGGCTACAATAGATATTTGGGATGACTACGCCATCTATTAGCGATCACCGGACGTAATTCACACCAATCGAGAAACTCGTCCGCGATCACTAGCGCCCATTTAATAAACGCGAGTATTATTATAATATGTGAATTTTATGAAGCGTTCATTAATATTATATTCAAGAATTAATTAATGAAGTATATTATAAGTGCTCTACTATAAGTGCAGGTGCTGCTTGTACGTATATTTTTTTGTTTCGTTTAGTACTTTTATTACAGAACATGCTTTAATTACCTATTCATTATCAATTTTAATTAGAAGTAACATTTAGCATTTAAAAAAGATACAGAAATGAGGATACATGCGAAGTTTTTTTCCCGTTTCTTCTGTAGACATAGATACCTTATTTTGAAACGGATATAAAACATGCTGACGTTAGACCAACGAAATTTTATTTTTTTAGGTCGCAAAAGTTTTTATTTTATTTATAAATAACTTCTGACCCTGTGAGAAACAGTTATGTTCCATTACATAGCATTCCATTAATTGATACTTTTTAGTAAACTATTATTATTTCTTATGATTACGCGAACACTAGGTACCTACATTTGCGAATTTACGGCGTATATTCCCAAAGTCTCGAGTACTTTACACTTGGTCACGAGGGGACTGAGGTGTTCGACCTCCCAATGTTATAGTTAATCACGTCTACCTTCAGATTAAAATTTTTAGTCTGATTTACGTATTGTGAACTTATTATCTTGAACTCTTGCTTATGCCTGGGTTGAGATTTAATTTTATTGATTATAGGATCGCAAGCAGATGGTAGCACCCAGTCATCTTCTCTATTGAAATTAGGATATTTTTAGATGTATTTAGATAGCCTCGCGAATCAACCTTGAAAGGAATCGGTGTTCTTTGGCGAGAACTTGTGGTCTGTCAAATCTGATGTTGTGACGGGAGCGATCCTGTACATGTTTGCCGACTGCAGACTTTCCGTAGCATTGATTCTAAATATCAGATATGTGTTCTTTTACGCGGGTTTATATTGATCTTTTAGTCTCTCTCAAATAGGACTAACTTATATATTCGCATAATTAAAATTTTACTATTAGTCTGTAACAAGCAGTATAATTTTATTTAAGCGAATAAATTACTACTTGTTAATTACACGCCACACTTCCAGAATACCATCATAAAATAGCAGCTTAATGCTGCTGTGTTTCGTATGGTGAGTGTAGAGAACCGGAGATCCTTTTTACTGGAAACGAGGCATTCTATCTGATAGCTCTAGAGCCGCTCACAAGCAAAGTGGTTATACCGCCATTTAACTTACCTTCAATCTAAATCTATATCGATTTTTTCTTTTATACAGAAATTTAAAGAGAACTTTACCAGGCTAGCAGATGCATTTATAAAGCTATAAAATTGGCAATGGCGAACATCCGCTGTCTTTAAATCTATAGGTACATCTATAAATCATATATAGACTTGAATTTTTGAAGAAAGGATATTTTTAAACAATTTATCTGTCTCTCCATCTGACTTATCTTCGGAATCGCCCGACCTATTGCGTTTAAACTTCACAAACAAATTGAGATCAAGGAGCGATCTAGACGACCTTTATTCTTTGGGAAATCAAAAACTTATAACATAAATGTACTTTGATGATTACATTCAATCCAAATTACGCCACATTAATAGCTACCTCCCTGGGGAATCCGGGGCGGGTCGCCAGTTTGATATATTTTGTTGCTTTAATCCCTAATATTTTTTTTAAAACGAATGTAACACAATGTAACCTCAAACAAATGATTCGCTTATTAATAAGCATGCATTAATTACTTAGGTAATTACGAATAAAATTACTCATTGTGTATTTTTTTCACACGGCCAGATGGACAAAAACAAGAATATAATGATGAGTTTTAGAGATTATATGAATTCCCACTAGATATTTGATTTAAACAGGAGATATAGAGATAGGGAGATAGAGTTTTTTCCTTGCACAGCTTCCTCTTGAAATCGACTACCAGCAGCGATTTTCCGCACCGATACGACATGGGAACTTCAAAAAAAAAAGAGCCAACTCTTTTTTAAAAGGCCGACAACGCATCTGTAGTTGTTACAGTTGTTCATGGGCGGCGGTAGTCACCACAGAGTACTTTGTAGTCATTTACCATCCAGTTAACCGCAAGTTCGTTTGCCCACTTTTATATAAAAAAAGAAATTATAACAATGTGTATGAATCTTCACTCACTTTAAAACGTCATTGAATCACTTTTTACGTTTCTCTTCTATTCGTCTTCTCTTCGATTCGTCTTCTCTTCTATCTTAATATACTAAATTGTAATCATTTCATAAAATTTTTATAATCAAAATAATTTTATAAAAATGTACATACACAGATGGCACTATAATGCCATTTAAACGTTTACTTTGCAAATATTCTATAGTGACCACATGTAAAAGCTTCTTATTTTTGTTTTAATAAACAAATAAACAAATTTGAACGTTTTCACGCCCTAGCGTCGATCTTGGTCTGGTCTTAGTTTGTCATAATTTACAACTGCAATAATTAGTTAATAGTGGGTAATGACTGCCTCATTGGTCTAGTGTGTAGTAGTGCGACCAAAAAAACACGTTATTGAATTTTTCTATCCAGTAGCTGCCCGGAGTCAGGAAGTTAGCGGTGTCTCACCCCCGTGCCTCGGTATGTCTGTCTCAGAATCTGTTATCAGATACAGACTTTTAATGTACAGACTCTCAAAAAGTATTTTTAGCACAAAAACGCTGTATTAGAGCTATTAGTAACATCCCATCAGACACATCATGCAAGCCTTACTTTAAGAGTTTAAACATACTTCCTTTTCCCTGCCTCTATATATTTGAGGTAGGCAAATTTGTAATGCAAAACAAGCACTTATTCTTACAAACTAAAGATGCAACAAAAATAAATTTACGGAACCCACATAAATTAGTACTTGACACAATTCCAAAAAGTAAGCGCTTTCAAAAAAATAGCTATGCAATGTGTAACACGATATATAACAAAATACCCTCACATATTAAGCAATTACCTTATAATAAGTTTAAAATGTCACTTCGACGATGGCTAGTAGATAAAGCATTTTATACAGTAAATGAGTTTTTGAATTGTAGTGACTAAGTAGTTTTATCGTTAATTAAAAATCGATGCATTAATTAATTAATTTATATATATATATATATATATATATATATATATATATATATATATATATATATATATATGAATTTGTTTATTTATAAAGATTGTAAAATGACGTTTTAGTTTGTTTATATAGATGAAATTTAGTAATTGATTTTATTATAAAAACTTTTGAATATTTGCATGCTGTTGAAAACAGCTAAATAGGTTTTCTTAACACATAACAGTATAACATCAATAAGAAAACATTTTGTACCTATTTAGTTGCAAATAAAGAATTTGAATTTGAATTTGAATTTATGCACGTAAAACCGTTGGTCCTGCGCCTGATCTCTCTCTGGTCGTGTAGAACGGTTTACCGTTCCATTGGACTATGAGAGTTAGAGAATAGAGCACGAGTGCTTGCGCATACGCTTGGGCACTATAATCTTGTGCTGCGCCGATGGCTAGTCTCCGTTCAGGCTGGCCGCCGTTACTTAAGTTCGATCTGGCGAACATGAATCAGTTAATGACACATGTACGCACGTACATGCCTAGTTCTTCCACGCGCCTACACAACACAGACACACTCTTGATCATACATGCACGCATTTTACATAACAGTCCTTTAACAACAATTTAATCCTTACAAATTATATTTGTACATAATTAGAATCAAGACCGACGATTTTGTAGCAGGTTACAGTTTAATAAAGCGTGGCCATCAAAGTTCTCTGCAGGGCATGAGCCTATTAAAATAATTAAATACATTATTGTTTACTTACATAGAGAATAACCACATATAAGCCTCCCCTATGCATCACCTCATAGGAGGAATATTTGCCATAGTTGCCACGCTTGGCAAGCGGGTTGACAACCGCATTCTTTTTACTCAGTTGTTGTCAGGAAGATGCTGCTGCCCATCTCCTGGTTCAGTTTCCCTCTGTCGCCTCTTACCACACCCTCGGGACGATATGGGATAGTTAACAGTGACACGTTCTTTGTGCAAACATAATATAGTTGTATGAAGACTTATATAAATTAACGATTTATCTCGTTTAATGTTTTTAGTTATATCAAGTTGTAATATCAAAACGATTTATTGTTAAGATATTTAGTTCTCACCAATAATACAACTCGCATTACGTGGGAAATAAGCAGTAGTCATGTTTTAATGGTAATCTATTCTGTGATCATAATATTTCGTAAGTCAAAGAAGGACAATACATCTATACATATAAATAAAATTGAACCGTTTGTTTGTAAAATGTCGAGTTCAAGGACTTATTTGCACGCTATTCAGAAATAAATTTCTATACTACACTACTCTGTGGATTTTCATTCAAATTTAACCAATGGATAGGTCAATTTACGAGGAATTTTTGAGTATGCAATTTATGTACTTATATTTGGGCATACTAGTCAATGTTATGACGATTTTTGTTGATTTATTAGGTAAAAGTTGTGGCCTCTTGAGTTTACATGGCGTACGCTACTTAAATGTTACCTGAGGTTCCAGGTCGTAATAACAAAAATCAGTTCTTGAGTTTAGCTATCAAGAAATTCCCAGAGTCCCGGAGTCAGGAAGTTAGCGGTGATTCACTCCCGTGCCTCGGAAAGCACGTAAAGCCGTTGGTCCTGTGCCTGATATCTCGGTGGTCGGGTCGGACGGTTTACCGTCCCATCGGACTATGAGAGTGAGGGAATAGAGTGTGCACCTGTGCTTGCGCATAAACTTGGGCACTATAATCCTGTCCTGCGTCGATAACTAGTCTCCGTTCAGGCTGGCCGCCGTTACCAAACTTCGGCCTGGTGAACATTAATTAGTTAATGTCACATGTACGTACGTAAATGCCTAGTTCTTCCACACGCCTACACAACACAGACTCACTCTCGAACATACATCATGCTCTTTCATACGAAGATTTTAAGAATAAAATAATAAACCAGCTAACAGTCCGGCACAACGTTATTACGTTACCCTTTCTGGTCTAACGAAGATAAGGCTTATTAATTTGCGTTCAAATTTATCCCCCCCCCCCCTAGTGGTAAGCAGTAGAATGAAAACTGAAAATTGTATATATAAATGGTATATAGTTGTTAACAAAAGCCTATTCACTCTTGTCTTGAAGACACATCTTGATTTGATAAAGAGATAGATTCTGGCAAACTATTAGATAAAGAGATAGATTCTGCAAACTATTAGATAAAGAGATAGATTCTGGCAAACTATTAGATAAAGAGATAGATTCTGGCAAACTATTAGATAAAGAGATAGATTCTGGCAAAATATAACATAAAGAGATAGATTCTGGCAAACTATTAGATAAAGAGATAGATTCTGGCAAACTATTAGATAAAGAGATAGATTCTGGCAAACTATTAGATAAAGAGATAGATTCTGGCAAACTATTAGATAAAGAGATAGATTCTGGCAAAGTATTAGATAAAGAGATAGATTCTGGCAAAATATTAGATAAAGAGATAGATTCTGGCAAAGTATTAGATAAAGAGATAGATTCTAGCAAACTATTAGATAAAGAGATAGATTCTGGCAAACTATTCCATTCTACCGCTGAATGAAATACACATGAACAAACAACAAAGCAAAACGTTATTTGATTAGTCTTAGTGTTGCTACTCGCTGTGATTACGTACCATGTCACTTCTTTAGTGAACATATGATTCGACATAATATGATATTCTTGTGCAACTAGAATGAGTTTGAATATAACTTCGATATTGCATCGTGTTTCAAATTAGTCAAGAAAATATCAAATATTTCATTTAATTGATAATTTGGTTTTAAATAAAAGTTTATCAGTTTCTAGTGTATTATATTAATACATAAAAGAATGCCTCTGTGGTTTGTTCTGTAATTTTTTGCACGTTTTTATTTTTCGTTTTTATTTTATGAATATCTGTGGTTTGGTTTATTTATTTTTAATTTATTTAATATAAAATATAACTGATGTTATAGAAAGAAACATTAACCTTTACAATTTTCGAACAAATTTACTTCCCCGCTATTAAATCTGTTAAAAATATTTCACCACATTTTAAGTGGCGCCGCCCTGGTGGCAGAACAAATCGTGGATTAAAATCATTGGATGAATATTTCGTTTCGTTTCCTCACTGATAAGATTTATACATGTTAAAGAGAGAAACAAAATTACAAACGAAAATAATTTTGTTCATTACGTTTTTAAGAATAAATGTGTATTCATATGGCATTTGCTAAATTGTTTCACTATTATATGATATTTCAAACTTTTAAACGAATACCGTGCAGAATATTAATAGAACTGAAAAAATCAACAATTCAATCAACAATTTAATAGGTAGCCTTTTTTAGGTTCCCTGATAGTTTTGCATGTTTATTATTTTAATTTTATTTTAATGTATTTTGCAAAGTATTTTATATACCTACATTTTTTATTTTAATTTTATAACATGATAATTAACATACGTTATATCTAGTTACTTCCTTGAGGAAAAATGATTTTTTTCCTTTTTTATATTTATATATAATAACGTTTCTTTAATTAAAAAATACACCCATTTGGCTTCTCAGGCTTGGGTGCAGGTGATCATTTATCACCTATTATTTTAACTTCTCACAAGGACGAAAGTTCTGAAATACTCATCATCAATCCGGTTATACTGAGAAGAAACACATAACTAAAAGACGCATTCAACATGAGGTTGATTTATAAAAGCCACTGGGGACAGAATTGCGTAGAGGCCAACACTTTGGCCGTGGAAGGAAAAGGAGCGATTTCCCGTCTAGTAATGTGTTGTGCCCGCGGAGCGGAGATCGCTCCGATGTGGAAGTAAGAAGCCTTTCTCTAAATGCAGATTCGTTAGAAAACATCGATAGCACGATTTAGATATTTATTTGTTTACGGTTGTGGCGTGACGACAGCGCGGCCATAGTGTATTCTACGAATACCAATATAATTTATGTTTGTTTGTTTTTCATAAAAATTGATAAATTTTACAAAATATATTTATGTTAATCGACTCAGATTCAGGTCAGCATATCAGATTGATTGCAAGCAGGAGAAATTATTGAAATTTATTTAAAACTTTCAGACAATATTACGTTTAAAAACTTTTTTCCCAAAAGAATATACACTCGCTTACTGAGAAACATACAACTTACCAAGCATGAAATAGTGAGAAGCGTTAAAATTAGAATGAAAGCGTAAAAAAGACAACTGCCAATGACGGCTAATAATCACCACGAGATGTCGTTAGTTGACAGTGAGGTGAAGTGTTTTGTTACACAATATCATTTGATTGAGAAGTTAGTTTTACATAAAAGTTTATCAATTTCTGGATTATTATAAATTATACACAAAACAATGCCTCAGTGTATTGCTCTATAATTTTATGCTTTTTTGCACTTTTTTATTTTATTTTTTACTTTTATGAATAGCTGTGGTTTGGTTTATTTATTTTTAATGTAATAAATATGAAATATAATTATAGCACACAGAGAAATATTATACATTAAATTTTTCGAATAAATTAACTTCCACACTATGACATCTGTGCAATATTACACCTCATTTGTAAGTGGTGCCGCACTGGTGGCAGTCATTGGAACCTACGCTAAAGTGCAAAGAATAAGATTAGCAAGATATAATATCATGGATTGTGTCTTAGTAGGTATATTGTGGAATTACTGTAAAATTCATGTATTATTAGTTGTTAGGATTAATTTGTAAGGTATTTATTGCTATGGTATTACAAATATTTTAATTTAATACATTTTATTACCATTACAGCGTATTAAAATCCACTGCTGAACATAGACCTCTCCCATAGATTGCCTCATAGGAAGGATGTTGCTACAGTTATATATAATAGCATATGTGCAATAGTTATATTATTGAGTCGTTACCAGAACGATGCTGCTGCCCATCTCCTGTTCCAGGTCCCCTCCGTCACCTCTTGCAACACCTACGGGAGGATATGGGGCTGTGGACTTTCTTACACCGCCACTACACGGCAATACATACATAACTCAATATAAATTATTTTAATATAATTAAGAAAGAAAAATATTTCGAAGACACGTGAAGTTCACCAACACGCATTGGGGCAGCGCGGCAGACACTTTCTTGCCCTAAAAACCTATCAGTAATTAGGGGAGGCCTGTACCTAGCGGTGGGACGTATATAGGCTGTAACTTTACTTTTTTACTTTATATTGATTATTTATCAAACATTTGTTCTAATGCCAGTCATCCAAAAGGGTTGGGCAGAGAATTTCAACTTCCATTTGGCACGATTCTAACACACCTCTTTTGCTCTTTTCACACATATATCTACGCATACACGCTCATCGGCTAAGGGTACGCTTTACTTGACCTATCTATAAAAAATAGCAAACTTGCTTGATATCCTCGCATCTAAATCGTCTCTTACCGCCTCTTTCGCTCACTTCCACACCATAAATTTGCTTTGTCACTCTATTTTCAGTCATATTTCTCTGTCCGCAAAATGGACACAATAGTTAAACAATATAAATGTTCATATCATATAATTCATGAGACAGGGAATGGGTTTAGCCTGGTTACACAATCATTGTAGGAACCACATTTTTCTCTCATTACACAATTTTTCATCCTCTCAATCAGTCAGATCTAATAAGCTTCTTAAATAGTGCATTTCCACACTATCACTTTCACTTTTATGCTTCTTCTGCCACACGCAAATTTCACTACTATACGTTAAGATTGATGTGATCGATTGAGTTAAGTGATTGCTATCCTCGTCGTTAACAGAGGCTTTGGCCTTCAACTCTTCAAGAATTAGTTTCAGATTTGCCACTTTTACTTTTAGGCGCCTTTTTTTCTGACGAAATGCTCTCACCATTCTTAACCTCTTCTCCGACAGATTTTGCTGCTGTTTTAATCACTTGGTAAGATTTCTGGGCGTATCCAGTAACTAAAAAAGAAAATTAAAATATTTTAATCCTTTTCCCTATTATAGTCAACCAAATCTAAGAAATACATTTTAACAGCTGTCAGACTTATTGCACCAAGCATGCCAACCAAAAACTGGAAATGTACAATATTCGATTCTTAAAAAAATCGACATCGATTTTTTAGAGTTGGTAATCATTTACAGTTTGGTTTGAATAATACTAGAATAAATTAAAACCGGATAATTTGAAACACAAGATTTATTTGATTTATTAGTTTCTTCGTATTTGTTGTTACTGCTTATTTCTAGAGGCATAGTTATAAAAATTTGAGATTGAAACTAGATTAAAAATAAATTTATTCAATCACTTTACGTACAACTAGTTGAGCTGACGTTGTTTAGATTAACTATTATTCGATTTTCAATAATGCAGTCAAAATTAATGCCTCTTTCAAAGTCATCCGTAATCAATTTTTTTTTTGTTTTTTCTACCACTTTTGCCCAATCATCGTTTGTGAATATAGAAGAAACAGTCCAAAAAGTTAAATCCGAGTCACAAAATAAAAAGACAAACCCAAAATCACAAAATTACGCACAGTAAGCTCCCGAAAAGGCGGGAGATTATAATTATGTAGTGGTTTTTTCAGCGCGGCCTTGTATATGAGTTTTTTGCCCACCCAAATTTACGTTGGTACAAAGTAAAAACAAATTTACTTGTTTTATTCATGATTTATGTAATTTAAGGAATTTCAAAAATAAAAATTTATTATACAAATAATACATTAAAATGATTCAATTATTTGAATATTTTTGCATTTATGCATAGCAATGAATTTTAATCATCCAAACACTACGGTAAGGTACATAGCGACGTATCATTGAAGCGACGTCAAGTAAAAAAAGTTGATACTGGTTATTTTTTTAATATTTTGCTTTGTTTGAAAGATTCGAATTTAAATTAGTAATAAAAACTAGACACGCTGTGATGAAATATAGATAACTTCATAATTCTTCGGATTTACGTAAAAGGTTATTTTAAATCGTGTGAGTACGCTCCTGCAAAGTTATTGCAAAATGATTAATGCGAAACGTCAAAAGGTATTTCTTAGATTTGGTTGACTATAACTATACTATACTGAAATTGTTGTGAATTGGCGCACGTGCCTTTATTGACACATTCTGCCTTCTTCCGACAGAGTAAAAAGCCCCATTTACTCTGCGATGTTTACTGAATACGGGATTCAATTTTCATTCTATATCAACCATCTCTGCTAAACACACATCCTCAGTACACAAACTCATATATTTGCCCAACCAACTCCCCTTCTATTATAGTCTTACATATCGTTTTACTTTTGTCTCTTTAGATAACTATCACTTTCGTGTTGAGTTTACTTTCAGTCTCGTTTCTTTATCATGATACGGTTATTAAATTAATTATGTTACTATCATTTGCTACATGCCAGACGACGACGTAAATATAATATCAATAGGAAATCATTATTATAAAGAAGTTATTTGCTTATTTTTTGTTTAAACTTCGTTACTATAGTATATACATATTTAATTATTTACTGTACTAGAGATATTATATGGACTTAACTAGTCTATTGGCCGTTACGAGTGGAGCGACTGCTGATCATGTGC